GTTGCAGCAGTATATTGACAGGCAACTTCCAGAAATACAAGCTGGATTCAGAAGAGGAGGTGTAACGAGGGATATCACTGCTGATGTCAGATGGATCTTGGCTCAAAGCAAAGAATACCAGAAAGATGTTTACTTGTATTTTATTGACTGTGTAAAGTCATTCAACTGTGAGGATCATAATAAATAACGGGTAACATTGCAAAGAATGGGAATTCCACTTCGTTGTGCTCATTCAGAACCTATACATAGACCAAGAGGCTGTTGTTCAAACAGAACAAGGGAATACTGCAGGGTTTAAAATCAGGAAGAGTGCATGTCAGGGTTGTATCCTTTCACCATACTTCTTTAATCTGTATGCTGAACAGATAATTTGGGAACCTGGACTATGTGAAGAGGAATATCAGCATTGGAGGGAGAAAACTCATTCACAACCTATAATATGCAGATGAGACAACCTTGCTTGTTGAAAGTGAAGAGGACTTCAAGCACTTACTGATGAATATCAAAGACTACAGTCTTCAGTATGGATTATACCTCAACATAAAAACAGAAATCCTTACAACTGCACCAATAAGCAGCATCATGATACATGGAGAAAACACTGAAGTTGGCAAAGATTTTGTTTTAATTAGAAACACAGTCAACACTCATAGAAGCAGTAGTCAAGAAATCAGATGTCGTATTTCACTGGGAAAATATGCTACAAAAGACCTCTGTAAAGTGTTTGAGAGCAAAGATGTCACGTTGAAGACTAAGATGCACCTAATCTAGGCCATGATATTTTCTCTCACCTCATATGCATGTGAAAGCTAGACAATGAATAAGGAAGACCAGAGAAGCAGTGATGCCTTTGCATTGTGATGTTGGTGAAGAATACTGAAAATAACATGGATTGTCAGAAGAATAAACAAATCTGTCCTGGAGGAAGTAAAGCCAGAATGCTCCTTAGAAGCACTAATGATCAGACTTCATCTCACCTACTTTGGTCATCTGGTCAGAAGGGCCCAGTTTCTGGAGAATGATATCATTAAAGGGAAAAATGCAAAGACTTTCAACAAGATGGATGGACACAATGGCTATGATGGGCTCAAGCATAACAGGGATTGTGAGGATGTCACATGACCAGGCAGTGTTTCATTCTGTTGTACATAGGATCGCTGTGAATTGGACTCAACTCTATGGCACCTAACAATAACAACAATTATTACTATTTATACATAGTTTGTACTTGTACAAAAACTTTTAATACAGCATCCATTCTTTCAGGCTATGTCCTTAGGCTGGTTTACATTAAGGCAGATTTATGCCCTCCATCCCCAGTGATTCTGATTCAGTCTATTTAGGGCACTGCTATCTTTTTTATAGTCACCCAAGAACGGCACAAGGACAATGTTTTGAGATGTCTTCTTGGAGAGGCTTTATGAAAGGATTTTTTTCTTGCCATATATTTTCTTGTTGCTTTTTCCATATCCTACTTTTTCTTAAATATATGTTAGGAATATTGTCAGATGGTAACCAAAAAAATAATAGGTACTGTATTGGGTTTTTAGCTGAAATTTTGGTGTTGGTTAGCAGGGGTATAGAAAACTGTGTGATTTGCTTATTATTTAATTATTAAATATTACTGTATAATTAAACTTCTAATCAAGATGAACTTTTTTCACCTCAACAGGTGGTAATTAATAACAAACTAGAGCAAAGAATTATTGGAGTGATCAATGAGCATAAAAAGCAAAATAACAACAAGGGAAACATTTCTGGAAGACTTACTGCCAAAAAATTACAGGTATTTTTCAAAATTTATTTAGCTTCTTATTTTTAGTGGAACATTTTTAAGACAGAACTACATGAGCGATAAAATTACTTTGTCCAGTTCCATTGAGATTTTATATACATTGTGTTTTGATCTACTAAAATGAGGGACTTGTGTCAGACACAAGTGAACACATTAAAATGGTTATACTCCCAAAATTATATTATTCAACATCTATATTACACCCCATTACACCCACTTTGCTTACATTTTCTTTGATAGAACAGTCCTACGAGGTATAGTAAAACCTCCAAAAGCTACCACCTGTGTCAAGTGGAAACCTAGCAGAGAAAGACACTGCAGATATTTTCCACTAATAGTGAGACAGAGATGGAAAAGTGGTAAGACTATACCCTGTCAGTGAAGGAAAACATGCAAGACTTAGAAAAACAAGGCAGACCCTTCAAGTTCTGGCTCTCACAGTTTTCACTGTAATTGGCCCCATTTTGCAAATGAAGGAATTAAGGCATAAAAAGGTTACAGAAATTACACCCTAAGGTTAACGTAGCTTAACTCAATGCCGTGGTCCAACTCAATAGCAAACCCTCCGTGGGTTTCCGAGGCAGTATCTCTAAGGAAGTAGAGAATCTTCTTTCTGTGGAATGCCTAGTGGGTTTGAACTGCCAGCCTTCTGGTTAGCAGTCAAATGCGTTAGGCATTACCCACCAGAGCGCCTGGGTATTTGTCAGTAAATAACAGAGTAAGCAGCAGAAGGAAGCCAGGGACAACGGCTGGATCCAGGTAAGGGGAGGGAGAGCCCCCACCCAAGGCAGGAAGCAGGAAGAAGCCAGGGCTGATGGATGGAACAGGTAGGGGGAAGGCCACGAAGTGGGCAGAGAGGTTTAGAACAGCTAAGGGAAACTAACTTGTCTGTCAGTTTGTCCTCCTATGGTGCCTTGTCGTGTTGCTGTGAGGCTGGAGGCTGTACCACCAGTGTTTCAAACACCAGCAGGGTTGCCCATAGTGGACAGGTTTCAGCGGAGCTTCCAAACTGAGACAGACTCGGAAGAAGGAAAAGGCCATCCACTTCTCAAACAATTAGCCATGGAAAACCTTAGGAATAGCAGAAAAGCATTGTCTAATACCTTACGGACAACTTTGTGAATAGCCCTGAAACATTGCCAGAAGATGAGCCCCTCAGGTTGGAAGGCATTCAAAATACAACTGGGAATGAGCTGCCTTGTCAAAATAGAACCAACCTTAATTATATGGATGAAGTAAAGCTTTCAAGCCCTCCATTTGCTGACATGGCCCAACTTAAACTGAGGAAAAACAGCTGCAAACATCCATTAATAATCAGAGCATGAAATGTACAAAGTATGAATTTAAGAAAATTGGAAGTTGTCAAAAATGAAATGGATTGCATAAAGATTGATATCTAGGCATTACTGAGCAGAAATGGAACAGTTTTGGCCATTTTGAATCAGACAACTGTATGATCTACTATGCCAGGAATGACAAATTGAAGAAGAATGGTGTGGCATATGTCTTCACAATTTTACAAGATCTATCTTGAAGTACAATGCTGTCAGCAATAGGATAATATCCACATGCCTCCAAGGAAATCCAGTTAGTACTACTATTATTCAAATTTATATACCAACTACCAAAGCCAAAGATGAAGAAACTGAAGATTTTTACAACTTCTTCAGTATGAAATTAACCAAACATACAATCAAGATTTGTTAATTATCACTGATGACTGGAATGGAATAGTTGGAAACAAAGAAGAATGACGGGTAATTTGAAAATTTGGCCTTAGCGATAGAAATAACATGGGAGATCGCATGGTAGAATTTTGCAAGACCAACGACTTACTCATTGCAAATCTTTTTTTCAACAACACAAATGGCAGCTATACATGTGGACTTGGCGAGATGGAGTGCACAGGAATCAGATTGATTACATCTGTGGCAAGATGTAGAAGCTCAGTATCTTCAGCCAAAACAAGGCCAGGAGCTGATTGTGGAACATACCATCAACTGCTCATATGCAAGTTCAACTTGAAGTTGAAGACAATTAAAACAAGTCCACAAGAGCCAAAATATGATTTTGAATATATCCCTCCCGAGATTAGAGACCATATAAAAATAGATTTGATGCATTGAACAGCAGTGACTGAAAACCAGAGGAATTGTGGGATGACATCAAGAACATCATCTATAAAGAAAGCAAAAGGTCATTAAAAAGACAGGAAAGGAAGAAAAGACCAAAATGGAGTTAGAAGAGACTCTGGAACTTTCCCTTGAACAGAGAGTAGCTAAAGCAGAAGTAAGAAATGACAAGATAAAAGACCTGAACAGAAGATTTCAAGGAGCAGCTCATGAAGACAAAGGCGGTTATTATAATGAAATGTGAAAAGACCTGGAGTTAGAAAGCCAAAAGGGAAGAAAACTCTCAGCATTTCTCAAGCTGAAAGAACTGAAGAAAAAATTTAAGCCTTGAGTTGCAATACTAAAAGATTCTGCGGGCAAAATATTGAATGATTCAGGAAACATGAAAAGAAGATGGAAGAAATACACCGAGTGACTGTACCAAAATGAATCAGTAGATGTTCATCCATTTCAGGAGGTGGCACATGATCAAGAACCAGTGGTATTGAAGGAAGAAATTGAAGCTGCACTGAAGGAAGTGGCGAAAAACAAAGCTCCAGGAATTGACAGGATACCCATTGAGATGTTTCAACAAACAGATACCACGCTAGAGGAACTCAATTGGCTATGCCAGGAGATTCGGAAGGCAGCTACCTGGCCAACTGGCTGGAAGAGATCCATATTTGTAGCCATTCCAAAGAAAGTGACCCCACAGAATGTGGAAATTACCAAAAGATATTGCTAATATCACACACAAGTAAAATCTTATTGAAGATAATTCAAAAATTGCAGCAGTATATTGACAGAGAGCTTCCAGAAATGCGAGCTAGATTCAGAAGAGGACGTGAAACGAGAGATATCATCGCTGACATCGGATGGATCTTGGCT